TTTATTAAAAACGCCCCCAAGAAATTATTATTTTGTAAGAAGAAACTGGATTTTTTAGCTCCCTTTTGATTTTAGGCTGATGTGTATGCTTACCATATTTGTAGATTATGGTATATTGGCTCATATACCATAATGGCTAAGCCAATAAAAAGTCTTGAATTGCATTATCCAATGATCCAGTTTTTAATAAATATATATATATATATATTTTAATAGTTTTCTAGTTTTCTAAATTATATATATATATATATATAGCTGGTGTGATATCCCTCGAGGTTTTTACCGACTCTAATAAATGTAGATGTAGATGTAAAAATTCAAGCAACAGGCAAAAAGGGTAAAAAATCTATTAGACCAGGAGCGAGTTCCCAATCTTAGGCACACAATTAACAATACAGTATAATATAACAGTCATGGACCCCTAGTGCAGTGTAAGACATCTAAATATTACAAAAAAATTTCATTGAGCTTTGTAATTTGACCTAATGATACCCTAACTTTCCCTTTAATAACAAAAATTGGATGGTAATGCACAGAAGTGTTCTAAAAAATTTAGCCGGCTCACCTTTGCCGCGAGAAGCTCATTCAATGACGTTTCGTGTTCTGGAACTGGCCTCTATTTTCCTTATTCTCAAACTCGTCAACCATTATTTCTCTCTTCAGACATCACAATTCGACAAAACATGTGCCCCAAAGGCATATTCCACACAGGCAGTGCTTTTAGTTGATTACGGTGGAAAATGGGATCATAATACTGTAGGTCTTACCGTGGGTCTTACCCACATAGCTCAGACGTAGGCTGTTGTTGTTGTTCGTTGTTGAGTGAGAGTGAGACGTTAATCGAGGGTAAGTGTACGCAATAATTTTGGTCAGCGGGAAAATTATGAAACCCGCGAAAGCCCGAGCCCTTTTATGCCAACAAATCGGATACACAACCTCGTTCCCAGGGTCTTTTCCCTTTGTAGGGAAAAGGCCCTGGGAACGAGGTTGATCGGATACACTGAGATGATGGTGCCAAATGTTCAATCGTCTTCAATTTAAATCCGAGAGAGATTTTCCTTGAGAAAAACCTTGATAATCGTACTGTAGAAAACCGATACTACCTGGGTTTCTTTCGAAGGGAAAAGAAACGAGATAGAGCTGATGATATGCACCGGAAAGTGGGGTAGTTTCTTTTCATAAGTGCCATTTTACGCTTTCCAGGAAATATTCCATAAAAGCAATAGAGGACTTTATTTATGTGTTTACATTATCTCACCTAAACGGTTGCCAGAAGCCAGAAGTTTCATACCGACGAAAATTTTGTGTCGTTTCGCACTGTTATTTCTGTGTTTTGGCTCACCCAGGCAGTCATTGATATTATCATTCCGACTACAAGATGTTGTTCCCTCATAGGTCTGCGCAGAGTTAATAGAGGGAACTCTGGTCTGCGAGGCTAGAGATCGTTATTGTGCTTATTTATAAAAGATATCCATGCTTCAGAAATTTAATTCCGTTTTCTATATTGATATTATTAGGATGAACTCTCATCATATTTGGATGGCTTCTTTTACTCTACGTATGCATCAGTGAAGGTCACGTTCGAAAAAGCTAACTTTTGAACATGGAAGAAGTTCCTATTGCTTAAGTATAAAAGTAAGCCCTCAACAAGCATTTTAAGCAAGGACTTTTATTCTGCAGGACTTTTTCGCAGTTTCTCCTGTCTTTGAACAACCCCTTTATTTCGCTTCCTGCAAAGGTTGTTATTGATCAGGGGTAGTAATGGAGTGGTGTCGCAAACCACAACCAACACTGAAACGGGGAAGAGCAAACGAAATTCATAACTAAAATAGTGGAAAAAACATCCGAAATGTAAGGTGGACTAGAGCCTTTTTAAAGATGTTGTGTACATTTAAAATTACGATAGACATGAACCAGACGCCACAGTACACTGTTACCTTAAACCTGAAAATTGACTTTGTTAGCTAGAAGAATCCCAGCTGGGCTTCCCGTGATTCTGCTTACACCAGTTTAATAGAATGGTTGACCTCTAAGGCCAGCACCGGCATCGCAGAGGTCATGGGTACAAATCCCGTACAGGCCTGAATTTTTTTCGGCTTTATTTTTACTACTGCTCATTACTGCGAAGATCGCTTTGATATTCACTTCTTAGCCCGTGGTTCACATAAATATATAAGTTTCATATATTCACAGTCATTTGAACATAGGCTGGCCATCTATTATGGTAATGATAGGACTTCAATTCTGCTCGTACGCTTAAAAATGTTTGTTAACACTGTAATGTTTCTATCGTAAACAGCTTTAATTTTTTTGGTTTTTTTTTGTTTGTTTCAGTGCTTGAAGCTCAAAATTGTTTCGTTTTCTGTTTTGATTGGTTAAATTCCGTTAATTAAATTCAAAAGAATACCAAATAGAACTGAAACCAACCTTGCCCAAGCTCACTTAGTTTGAGTTATTGATATCTGTAAAAAAACAGGCAAGCTAAGATTGTAATCCAACAATATTTTAAATGATTGTCAAGCAATATCAGATAGTAGTAATGATCTACCAAAGCATAATGACATACTTTAGGCTGTGAAGAGCCTTCCTTAACATACAGTAAATCAGCCAATTGTCAACAAGAATCACAAACACTCTCTTTTCGAAGAAAAATATAAATATGACTTCGGATTTTAATTTTTTTTCAGTGGAAACCCATACATAATTTGGGTCGAAAAATCGTTTCATTTAAGTCCCCTCCAACTTTGTGAGGTACAAATTAAATAACTTTGATTTCCTTATCATTATAATCTGGCTCACACAATTAAATAAACATGCGATCATTTTCGTGACTTTACCATTTGTATTGCTATTGCTTTTGCTGACACACTCTATCAACCAGTTAGTCAGTCAATTAGCCAGAATCTTTTATCTGCTGCCTGAAGATTGGACTTCTCACTCTAATTAGTAACTACATGTACTAGTAGTTGTTTGTCTCAAGCGTGCTAAATGAGCAATCCTAATTCTTCTGTTATAAAATTACCTTTTAAGTTTTCACTCATACTTGGTAAACTTAGCGGTCGACTTAACGCAAATAGTGAAGAACTTGATCTAGAAACTGATGTTTTCCTAAGGTAACTTTCAAAAGATCAATCATGTTTCATTATCCTGTCTCATTATTCGTTCTGGCGTCTGTCTGACACTGCAGGCTATTCTTTTATTTCGAAAAGGCGCAATCAACGAGAAAATATTAGCTGGCATTTGATAATTGCGTTTGCGGGGGTTAAAATACCTACACGTTCTTGTTTTCTCTCACCCAAAGTTGGCGCCGTCTGCAAATATAACTGAAGGGCATGCTTTTATACCTAACTTCTTTTAAAGAATTCTGTGGAGATTAAAGAAGTTTTTCAAACTCTTAAGGCTGCCATATTATTTTAAAAAAAGCACACAATTTTGTACGTCACCGCCATAAATTTGAATTTAAAATTGTCTCCCCTTTTCGATCTTGTTTTGACTCAGAGACTCTAAAGTATTGCAGCTATGTTTTTTAATTATGGAGCGTCGTTCCTCGCCTGAATTGTCTGGTTCAAAAGTGTTTTTACACCAACGTCTCCATATGTCCAAGTAGTCTTCTTCTGGATATAGCGACTGTCGCAAACTGACCGTCAAATATCACCTATAAGTACAATCATGAATGTACTCAACAATTCAATCAAATATATATGTTTTTTTTCACAGGCCTTCCTCTTGAATTCAAAGCAATTTGTATATATCTGGTGACGTCTGCTGATAATTTAGTAATTCCTCGAGTATAAATCTATATTATGAGGGTGCCAGAATTTATTTTCGACTTTTATCTCTTTAAGAAACGATTTTGGCATTTCACGTTCAAAGACATCCGCAAGACGAAACAACCATTCCACCATACTCTGTTAACACGATAGATCGGTCACTTGTCTTATATAGCACGCTGATGCCATGTAATTTAGTAGGAGCGCACATGGGAGACGGGATTCGACTGTCCAATTTGTGTAAAATGTTCTGCAAGATAGCATGATTAGTCGGTTCCAGTTGCATATCAAGAACGCTAGGACAGACACCATCGCAATAGTTAGCGCTGTAACCATTTGGAGCAATAATCCAGTTCCATTTTAATTTTTTAAAGTGCACGTAAACCCATCGACGTTGACATCTTTTAAGTTCGCTAGAACGCTTCTGACGAGATCTCGATGTCGTTGAGAAATTTTGAGAGACTTGTTCTTTATCGTCTTCGGAGACTGGATCGCTGCTGCAGTTTACACGTAGCGTTCTTGGAAATTTTTGTGGGCTCTTTGTATACGTTACCAAGAAAGGTGCTCTTTTACCATGTCCCCCGATACGAAAATCTGACGGGAAGGCTCCAACACTATCCACTGTAACACTCAAACCAAAGTTTTTCTCAGGTTTCTCTATCCAGAATTTAACCGCAGATGTAACATCAAATTTTATCCACCGACCAACATTTTCTTTGTAACTAACCAAGTGGGAAGCGATAGGAACCCCTTTGGTCCAATGCTGGTGATTTTTTAGCCGCAGAATTCTTATTTTGAAGTAACCAGCTTCTCTATTCCGTCCAAGTGGTACCTTCTTATAGATTCTCAATTCAGCTTTCTTGACTTTCTCTCCCGCTACAATGGTGGACATGTTAAAGTAAAACCCGTAATGCAGTGGTCCTTTGTGCTTGTTTTCCCCTGCGGCTAAAGAAAGCAAAACCAATAAATAACGGTTTATTTAGTATTATTTTGTGATTGCTAAAGAAAATGGTTACCGTAACTAACCAAATACCACTCTGGATCAGGCATTCTAAAGAACTACACTTACGTTCTCGGAAAAACACCCTGACTATCTCCGAGTCCCGTTGGCTTATTCCACGGCGGTGTAAAAGCGCTCGCTTTCTGTACAAGTTGAGAAGGAATCTTGGTACGTCATCTTTCTGTTTTGATAATTGTTTCGATTGTGAAGCCTCTTTGGAGCCAAACCCGCGTAGCAGCTCGGAAGGTTGACTGAGTTCTTTGTCGTACATCTGATGTGTATGGCAAATTAACAAACAGAATAAAATAAACGCAATGAACATTTCGGGGCCGTTAACTCGATTGCATTGGACAGGATGTTGTTATCGAGTCGACTAAAGCGCAAGTTCTAGAACTTACTCCAACAACGCGCACTCTATATATACGTCGATACCAGCTCGTCGTTTCTAAAATCGACTCAGCCAATGCGTCTTTTGTGCATACAAGTGCAGATGAGCGGCTTCTTTTACCATAAAGTATGACCCATATCGCAGGGTGAATATTTATGTGGGTGTTTTCCAATAAGGACTGAAGATGATATGACAGCTGGCGTTCACGGTTGAGTCCACATGCGTCAAAAGATTACTTAGACTCGATGGAAATCTGTTGAACTGTTAGAGGGGCGGCGGAAACTTACGTCTACACATTCATCCTCCGCATGGACCAACCTCTATTTCTGTTGCTATTTTTAGTAAATTAAAAACTAAGTATAACTTTGTAAACCTCTGACATTCAATAAAGGAGTTTGGTAGCAAGCCCTTGTTGAAAATCTCTCGAGGTGAGTTGATCCCTACATACATGTACATGCAAATTTTGCAGAAGAAATTTAGGAAAACCAATTATCCAAATGGAATGTTGAAGAAGTGATCACACGCCCTTGTGAAGGTGTTTAACGCCTTCTATTGTATGGAATTGATAAGAATTTCACACAAATAATCAATTTCTCACTACAAATGGAACAACAGATCATTGTCGGTTGTCCTCACCGACGTGGGACAACCTATTTAAGAAAATAATTTGGATATATCAACAAAGTTGAAATGGTAAATTGGCCACCGTAATGATTACAAAAGCTGACGTTTCGAGCGTTAGCCCTTCGTCGGAGCGAAGGGCTAACGCTCCGACGAAGGGCTAACGCTCGAAACGTCAGCTTTTGTAATCATTACGGTGGCCAATTTACCATTTCAACTTTGTTGATATATCCAAATTATTTCGTTACTCCCACCGACGCAGCCCCAAACAGTTTCTTTCGAAACTATCAGCCTTTATTCATTTATATTTAAGAAAAGCAGCACCAGAAACTCCGTTTTAAAGAAATGAAAGCCTCCTTGCTGGAACAAGGAAACGGATGGACCTTACTAACGGAAAAACTAATTGTTGCTTTTGATATTGTTTTTGTCTGGTTTCTTTAATTAGCTGTTAGATTTGGGTTTTCACATACTTTCATCATTAAAGGTTACTCGTAAGGATTCTTTTGTAAATGTACTCAAAACTGAATGAGTGAAAGAATAAATGCTTAAACGTTGTAAAAAGACTGCTGCACACGACAATGTACATTCCTGACGTGGTAAGTTATTACAGAAGTTTTCTCAACCGTTTCTTTTGTTTAAGGGTATCTAAGTCAGTCATGGATGAGTTCATGTTAAACTTGATTAATGGCGTTAATGAACATAATAATGAGCTTAGTCGGTGTCAGAGAAGCATTTGAATTCAGTTCTTATCATATCAGCGGGGAAAAAGGAAACACCGCTTCAAATTTAGAGCTGAGTAAATAGTTTGATGTGGAAAAACTAATAGAAGAAGGAAATATAAATAAAATACGTCGGGTTTCCGAAGAAAGTCTGATGAATCATAATTCAGCGACATTTTGGGCGCTCAATGTTCAAAGAAATCCAGTAATTTCGTCCAAATATAGTTCCATTCAGAATGATTTCGGTTTTGGCCTAACTCCTGACTGGACAGAAACATCGGAAATCAGACGGAGGCTTCCGATAGCAGACGATGAGACCTGACAGAACCGTCCGAAATTGGACGGAAATATCCGAACCTCAGTACAAAACCACACCGGGAAGAGGTTCATTAATTCTAATATTTTCGTCAGCATAGTATATCAGCTTCACACAGGTAATGTATTACAAGTCTCTGAGTTCGAATAATAGTATCTTTCCGACATCAATTCAAAAGAAAGCAAGGTAACCAGTGTCACCCACGCCTAATGGAAATGCAGTACTACTTATCGCCCAACAGGCCTACGATGACATCTTTTTCTGGCCCTTTTTTACTGCCTGTCACCACAATATCAGGCTTATTCGAAAATTCATTACAGGCCACACTCGTGGGAAATTCAGTTATTCCCAAATTTACGTACTCTGTCTTCATTTATCGGACAAATCGTGTCTGCCGCAGATAAACCGTACAGCGCTTTCAGTTAAAGATGATTTTTCTGCGTGGGCCTTTTCGCAGTAAAAAAGCCACATTTTTATGACAAAAAAAAATTACAAAAATTACTGTTCTTTAAAAACGGCAAAATATTTTTCCATTTCCTTCTAGCGTATTTTTACATATAAACAACTCTGATTATGTTAATAAATTGTTTTGATATTTCTCTTCCTATTTTATATTTAAAGAACGTAGCAAAACACTTAAAAACAAGCTTAATGAGACGAAACCGGCAAGTATTAATTCCTTCTGCAATTGCAAATCGCCATGAGAGAGCATTCACCAAGTGTTTTCGGAGGGGAACACTTTTTATATAATCTTCGCGAGCTTAATCTTTCACTGATTTTTACTCAAGATTGACGCGCGTTTGTGGAATTTCTACTCATTCCACCATTGCCACTGCCGCAAGAAATGAGCAGCCACATGACTTTTGATTAAAGATGGCTTCAGTCATCCTGGAAAAAAACTCGTTAAACTTTACCTTTTTAGATTTTTAAAAAGAACGAATAGTTTATATCCATGTGATATACAATTACATTTGCTCTGCTCTGTGACGCATCAAGTAAAGAACAGTACAATCATTATCGTGAGTCGACTCAGCCAAAATTAAGCAAAACTTTCGAAGGAGATGAAGGACTAAAGATGGCTGAGTAGGAGCGTGTTTGAGTGATTAAAGTAAAAAAAAAAATGTCGAGAGATCAAATCCATCATCCACTATCTTGCCTCTACATCCACTGAAAGGTTACCAGCATAATATCGGCATATACAACATATAGTCCGCCACAATTAGGGACTGAGCTTGCACCAGTACTTCCTAAAGTTTATTCCATTTTCCACGCGACCATCCGCTACAAAAGATAACTCCTGCATTGTCAAGCTGAGCTGAGAAGCGAACCGAGTTTCCGAAGCACAACCTTTAAAGTTGATGTCAAGTTAATGTTTAAGATGTTCGTGCACACGCATTGAGGACTCTTTAATTTGGCAGAGTCGGTACACCGACACGTTTTACTCGCTTGATTCTTGTAGTGTCTTGAGCGTCATAATATTGCTCCATCAGCGCTGGCGAAGTGGGTGGCGGAACATCTGGTGGTATTGACCCAGACACAATCATCCCATTTACGTTCTGAGTGTTATTCGTTTGTGGACCGTGTCTTGGATAGTTCTGAGATGACGAATGTGGATAGAGGGAACCTTCTGACCTTGCACTGGATAAGCCCTGTGCATCATTGGTTTGAGAAAGATACCATGTGGCTCCCGTTGTGTTGTAATCTTCCTCTGGAAGTGTAAATGAGGGTTGGCTCTGTTCCAAGGGCCACAACTGGACCTCCTCACTCACAGGTACTAATACTTCACTGTTATGTCTAAAACGCTGTTTTTCAAGCTCTCTAGACCCTCTCTTTCCACCTTTACCTTTACCCGCAGGCGACTTGGCCCTTCCAGGCTCAGTGAGATAACCGGGAGGGATGTTTCCATTAACGTAACCAACGGGTCTGGGCATTGTCACCCCTTGTGGCACTTCCAAGCGGTATCTTATGCTTTCATCTATATCTAGGGATTTTGACCTCCCTTTCTGTGACTTGCCTCGGCCAGGCTCCGTGTAATAACCTGCTGGGAAATGTCCGTTGAACTCGTCGCGTCTTGGTGGAATCATTCCTAACCTTACCATTCTCTGCTCAGCTTCATTGTGGCTGACATATCTTTGCGGAGTTCCTGGTCGAAGGCTATTTGATCTGTCAAGTTCGTTAGAATATTTCACCATTGATTTGCCGACTATAAAAGGCTCATTCCCAGCTGCTCTTGTCAAAGAAGGCGGCGAACTCAATAAGTCGTGCGGTTTTTCTTTTAGAACCCAATTGGTGTTGTTGTTGGAGGATGCCATAGACGCAGAATTAGACTGAATCCCCATGAAGTCACTATTTCTACTGGCGAGAGCCGCTAGGCGCTGCCGGCGTTGCTCCTCACGCTCATCACGTCTCCTTTGGCTATCTTTCCTAATTGTGCAAGGAAACAATAAATTCCTGATTAATGATGATCCATGCCATACTTCAGCGCAGTAATGGGGTATGTGAGGTGAAAATAAGGAATGATAGTTCTACTAACTTTCCAATTATCTTTAATTGGTACTGTTGCAAAAAAAAAAAGGAGAATAAAATCTTGTGCACATGCAAGTAATGATGAAATCTTCACCAACATACAAATGCAGCCTTTACTGCGGAAATCAGATAGTGAGAAGTTCAATTTTTGTCATTTTCTGTTTAAATTTCTGCGATGGTCGTGTTCATCAAGGTTTGTAATACTGAAGGCATTCGCCTCGTCCCAATTCGTGTGTGATTTTTAACGAAACCTTAGAACAAATGGAACCTTAGAATAATAGTTTGGCTGGACAGATGAACACCAAAGCTTAACCAAAGGGAACAACGACGGATAGTGATGGCGACGATTTTCAAGGAATAGTCCATTTTATAGTTGCTTGCTTGGTTGCCAAGCTTTAAAACAAGATTGAGGTTAAGGGTGACCTTGTTATGATACAAAATTTGTGCTTTCCAAATTTAATTTACTTTTTATCATGCTAACTGGATACTGGTCTATATCGAAACAAGGTCACCTCTGACCTCACTCCAATCAAAGGCAAAGTAGGTAACTATAAAATGGCCTATTACAAATCGCGAATTGATGGATGGACAAATCATCACCAGCTCTCTCTCTCTTTTCTTAGTATGCTTTCTATTGTCTAATACTGAATTAACCTGAACAAGTTAAAGAACAAAAAAATTATAGTGCAGGCAGATTTCCTAAAAAAGCGTTTCACATCTCAAGCAATAATTGCACAGCCATAACTTTAAATCTGTTGTTTTGGCGTTATATATAGTTGCAGGCTTAACTATTTTTAGCCAATAAAGATGAATAATCATATAGATAGGTTTTTTCGGAGATGATATACTTGGAATAGTCTTTTGACATGATAGTTATAACTTCAATCGCATTTCTCAAGGCAAAAGAACATCCAATGCAAGATGTAAGAGACAATTGAACACAGAGACAGCAAATGACGATTATGATCAAATTCACGATCGAGATAACGGTTATAATGATGATGATACTAACGACAACAAGAACAATGACAATGACAGTGACAATGACAGGGGCAGGGGCAGGGGCAGGGACAGGGACAATGACAGAGACAGGGACAATGACAGGGACAGGGACAATGACAGGGACAGGGACAATGACAATGACAGAGACAGGGACAATGACAGGGACAGGGACAATGACAATGACAGAGACAGCGACAATGACAGGGACAGGGACAGGGACAATGACA